CAACTATCAGTTGCTCAGTTGCTAATTATTGATATGCACTGAATGGGGAAGCAATGCAGGAAGGCTGTATACACAGAAATCCTGGGGGTATTGCATGCGGCTGTGTTCTATGTCTGCGCATAGCGAGGTAATTACTGGGTGTGAGACCTTAACACAACTGTGGATGAGAATAAGATCCCTTCCCTGGACATGTGTTTTAATAGGAGCATGGGGAATAGCGTGACACAGGCTCTCTCCTGAGACCTGCAGCACCTCTCCCAGGTAACAATCTCATAGCACCGAATGTGAAAGTGCAGTGTTCATCTAATGAAGCACACGATTGTGAATAATCAGAACTTTATAAGTAATGTGAACTCCAAAAGAACATATCAAAGTTGATGCTTTCCCACTCGAAACTGAGATGCTCAGACAGTGTGCAAGGTAGTCTCTCTTCTCAAGCCATTTTACATGATTAATAGGGTAGAGAGCAGGAGTTGAAACTGCAATTAAAGGTGTCTTCCATCAGAGGAAGAACCCCCTTTCTGGTAGTCAGCTAAAGGAGGACCGAAGGGAGCAATGCTCCACTAGAGAAGTCATTATTTCTCCACCATCCTCTCTGCTCCGTGGAATATATTAACTTCACAGTGTTGCCGTCTTAGCCAGCGTGCCTTCATTGCCTGTTTTTTTTTTTTAAAGCGATGCATGCAATTAGAAGTAGGAAAAGAAGAAAGCACTTGGAATAGTCCCCAACCCCTACACTGAGATTGAGTGCCAGCACAAAACAAGCTGAGTGGGCCCCTCGGGGCCCTGCCTGAGACTGAGGAGAGCCTCTGATAGTCTGTGTCACCGCTGCTCATTGACAACAACAAAAAAAAAAAAAAACGCTACTGCAAAGCTTCAGAGTAAATGGTTTCCTAAAAATGTACAGATGGATTTCCAATAACAGACACCAACACCCCTTGTTTGTGCAGAAAAATAAATGGCACTTCCTTGACAGCGTAAAAGTAAAATGCGCACCCGCTTTAGTATTCTGTGCTGAAATTTCACAGCCATTGCACAGTAAACTGTTTAACAGAGAAAAGTATTCCATACCCATATCTTATAAACTTTGTTCCAATTCCTCTTCTGTGTGGATTACACCGTTGAATAGACCCACCAAGGATCATTACATCCGTAACTCCCTGTTTTGCATAATGTCATTGTGTGGATTTGACTTTCAGCTACAGCGCAATTAATTATATACATGGCTTCTTTTCCAAGCCACACTATCATGTACAGAGAAGACTTACATCCATGTGGGATACTTGTTCTTGTAGTCTCATGAATACACTTCACCTTAGTAAACGTGAAAGGGATTGTGGAGTATCATCGTAATTGGTGAGACGGCAAGAACATTATTATGAATCTAGTCCCTCTTCCACGTGCGCTGCAGTAATAAGCCCGAGGAAAGTGATTGTCGTACATTTGATGGTTCGCTGACTTCACAGTCATTGTCTTTATCTGCATTGGAAAAGGCGAGGCGGGGGAAGGATCACACCTCCTTTGAGGTGCATTTAAATCATAGTCTCCACATTTTACTCAGAAAATTCCCTCTTGCGAGCGTGAGCTGAGATGGCGTCCTTCAAGCCCCGCTGGGTTTCCTGTCATCATGAAATGGGAGCAGGAGATTAGGAAGGGTGGGGGATGTAGAGGATGGAGCAGGAGGGGGGTAAATACTGAAATCTGGTCTAATCCCATCTCATACAGCTGAAGATACACTCCTCCGAAGACATTTCTGCTCAGAGCTGAGGTAACTGAAAGGAGCGAGAGGGATACTGTTGGGAATGGCCAATATATTGCAATATTGTTTCATTTTACAGCCTGATCCACTAAGGGTGCAGTTCAACTAGTTAAGGGTTTTGTAGGTGACACGCTGAGTGCTGCTATTCTTGTGAAGAAAAGCATCAAAGTGGCAATTTTGCACAGTTCATTGTGTTTAACGGAGCACTGTAAAACACGTCCTTTCCTCTGTAATTAATAAGGAGATGACAGAAGCATCTAGATGGTTTGTTTCATAAGATGTATCTTTTTTCAATATGTCGTGATTTAATTTTCTGCTATTCTTTCATTTGGCTGCGTTTCAGAACTAAGGAAATAGACCTATATCACAATGCTATTCAACAAGTCTTTCAGAGGCAGATTTATTGGCTAATTTTAAGTTTAAACTGACATGTTAAAACATGTAGTTTTTTTTTTTTATTCGTAATCAACATTTGACAAAACCCTATGGTCACGTTGCCGTTTAAATTATAAAAACCTGTAAACGCTACAAGTTATTTACTGCTTTTATGTCACAAAATCAAAAGCATGTCTTAAGTCACCCTGTTCATGCCTCCTTCCTCTCTTTAAAGCTATTTTTCTCTCACGCTCATCTTCTAATGAAATGTGCAGAAATAAACAAATGAGCTTTCAGAGTGACTGCTGATGCGAGAGGAGAGGGGATTCTCACAAGCCACTGCCCCTGCTGTATGAACATGCGTTATAAACAATTTCTCCCTGTAAAATGTCATTGGATTGGTACACTCTTCCACGAGGAGGATGTGCATGCATCTTTTTGTAAGCTGCATGATCTTCCTGTCTTGTTATACAATGTGAGACTCCCCTCTGTCACCTCGCTTGTCGGTGAGGCTCAAGCCTATAACCTCTAGCATTCATCACTCGTTCACAGCGAATCTGAAACCTGGCATACACGCTGACGCTGTCGTCTTGTGTTTCCACAAGATGTGACCTTTGTCTTTCGGTGGAAAATGCACCTTTGTGCATTTCCTCCAGTGCCAGGAAGAGGAATGTTGTAATGCACAGCTTGGCGCATACGTGTATTAAGGGCTTATAACATGCTGGAGATTTCTAGTGAGTGCAAAGTGTTATATTATTTTAACCTGTAGCCTAAAGGTCCCAAGTTACGGTGGCTCTGAGAGGTCAAACAGTAACGTGTCACAAGTCACAAGCTAACATACACTTTGTATGAATTATACAGTAATATATGATCATATGTAGTCTAAGGCGCTTGGAAAGAAAAGCATCTGGACGTCTTTAGGTTTCTTGAAGACGTTTCACCTCTCATCCGAGAAGCTTCTTTAGTTCTAAGAGAAAATGGGGGAGAGTCCCAGATTTTAGGCCCTGTGGGAGTGTCCCCAAGAGGGTTCTGGACCCCCTATTGATCCTCTACCTAATCACACAAGCCAAGGGTTGAAAACAGGTGTGGGTCACAATCAGCCAAGGTTTCAGGTGAACCCATTGTGAAGCCTAGCCCCACCTTATCATGTGATTTACTGAGATCAAATGGCCCAGGATGTGAGTGGCCGTCAAGGCGTCTGGGAAGGGATGTTAAAAATGGATTATAGATGGCAGACAGTTGGTGTCGTAAGCCCCGCCCTCTGTTCAAAGATGGTCGTTCACAGTTTCGCAGCTCCTTACACTACGATAACCTGGATGACTGAGAACCTTCACACACATGGATTGTATGATTAAAACCCACACCACCACACATCTTTTTTTCCCCTCACAACACGAATGAATCCTCCGTTTCTTTTTGCTCGTTTTTCAGCGCGATCCTTCACATGTTTTAGTTTCTGTCACTTTCACAGCTGTTTCTTCACATTATTTTCTTTCCAAAAACACTTTCCTTGTGTTTTTTTCCCACTTCCTTTGTGGTTTACACATATTCTGTTGTGTTTTGTATGCTTTTGCAGCATTTTTCTATTTGGTGGTGTGTTCTTGGTGTGTTCCACCGTACTAAATAGCAGTACCACTCATTGTATTTAAATTGTAAAACATTTTGACAGAAAAAACACAAATAAGTTAGCAAAAATGATGTGCAAGTTGGTGGGTAGATTTCTATGTCTTAGGGGTCCAAAGATATTTTCATCGTTTAAATTATAGTGGAGATTTCTCCTGTTTTACCCAGTCTGATACAGTATGTCTCTGCTGCATGAGAAAAGGTGCTCAGAAAGCAGCAGAAGACGTGAGGACTGTGGGAGAGCATTTGCACATCCAAGTGAGCACATCTATGCCTTAACCATATTTTAATATATGTCCTTCTGAACATCTTGTTTATGTCCCTATATGGCATTTAATGATAAACGGTCTGCATTAAAGACCTTACATCATTTTAAACTGGACAGCTTCTTCTGGACTAGGGGCTAAAAACCATTTGTCCCCAAAGCTTGGGGAGAAAAATGTAACAACAAACAAAACAAAAACTAGACAAAACAGAAAATAACCCATGTCCAAGCACAGCAACTACGGGGGCCTCTCTAAAAAACAACATCATTGCTTCACTGTGTCCTCGGGATAGGCCTGCTTATGTCACAGTTTGCTTACTGTAAGTGTGAATCTCAGTGTGTGGGCAGCTGGGGTTGAGACAAACTTCAAGACCAATTTCATGTTTTTTTGTGGGTTGTTGGTGTGTAGCTTTCACATGTGTGTACGTGTGAGCAATGTTCCTGTATGCTCCTGGCCAGCATCAGCATTACTGTCAGTAAGTGGGTGCTTGTGATAGGAAGGTCATGTGCTAGCCAGCAGAATTATGTCCAGGTCAGCTATGCACTGTATAGAACTGACCCTTAATTTGCCTCTGTTTCTGCAGCTGTCACACTCAGAGGTGAGGTGAGCAAACGTGGGCTCCTTTTTATCACACACATTAACCTACTGTTAGCTGTACACAACTACACACTTCTTTATAGGTTCTTAACTTCAACACAATTAATCCCCAATCCCCATTTAGGCCCCAGGAAACAGTTACAAGATTGCAGTCAAAAGCCCGTCATCGTGTTCATGTAGGATCCCACTTCAGTAAGAAGCCAATTTAAAAAAAGTAGGTTTTAGTAAGCTAGGTTTCGCCCTGTGACAGCTGGGATACTTCCAGCTGAAGAAAACATGGATCGATAGATGGATTGATGTCTTAGTGATCATTAATGTGAAAATGCTGTAAATGTGTACTTTTGCTCTGAAAACAAAGAAATAACATATTTTTGACTTACAATGTGGAGCTTCAAGAAGTCTCCAAGACCAGAGGAGCTATCCACCCTCACCAGGACAGCATCCTTCAGATGTGTGCTGAAGCCAATGGCTAGTCGGTCTGCCCTCGTGCTAGGACGGTCATTTGGTGGCCACGTGTATGTGATCAGTCCACCGTCTCGTCCAAATATGTATGTTGTTCCCGCTGAAAGAGATAAGACCAGAATTAAAGATGTTAATAGTGCGTTTCTTCTTTCATCCGTCTATCAGGCGTAACTCACTGACTGTCAACACGCAAACATTTTTAACACAGTAAAGCTGGCATCAATGCCGTGTGTACAGAGCACCGTCAGTCTGGAGTGTTTTATTGTGCAGAGCGATGATTCTGCAAAGCAATGAGCAACATATCACTCTTGAACGGCTCTCAGCCCCGTCTGAAGTACACTCGTGTCAATTCATGAGTAGGAGAACGTTCAGCGAAAACGAGGGAGGCAGGTACTGGTTCTGATTTCCTCACAATCCTGCACAGTCACCCAGTTTTACCGCTACTGCCCGTTTCACCTCTAGAGGGAAGAGATACGAGTGAATGCAAGAGAATGTGCGGCCGTGTCCCCAGTTCACAGGTAGCCAGCATGCCAAATGGGCACCTCCCCATCTCTCATGCTTCATTAGCAGCCTCAAAGGCAGATGGAGATAGCAGCATTATTGACTGGCTGGTCCAATTATGCCCTTCTTGTGACCTCCAAACCAGCCATTTCCTGTCGTGCTGCATTACCTTGTTGTCTTTAGCGGCTGCATAAAAGGGTTCAAACATGACCTAGTAGATGGAAGAGTGCTTCTAATTACTTAGCTATTCAGTGAGAAAATGCTGTGCAGCGTTAAGCCGGTGACCTAGTCAAACTGATGCTTCGAAATGAGTCCATCTCAGCTAATTCTGTTGGATTCTGTTCACGTTTACTGTCATCCTCATGTTTTGAGATTAAGACAGTGTTTTAATCCATGCTTTTTTTTTTTCCTTTTTTTCCAGGACGCAAACACAGTAAGGTTGTGAACAAACTTGGTTACGTGTGCACAATTGTGAACAAATAGGGCATGTGATTGGGAAATCAACGGCAGCGAGAAAGCCCGCAAATAAATGCAGCTGTCAGATTAGCATAAAAACTGCTATCTTAGTGAAAAATTAGACGAGGAGCTCTGTTAGTGTGCGAAGCATTTACATGTGGAAGTGTGAAAGAGAAGGAGAAGCCGGGAGAGAGTGCGAGCGAGGCAGAGTATGTTAATATTCATAGGGGCAGGGAGTTAAACAGCCTTAGCCTGAACAATAGATAATAAATCATTCTGACTGTAATTCCGATATTTTCTTGTAAACCAGTTCACGAGGTTATAAAACCATCAATACATTTTGCATTTTCTTTATAGATCCTGTTGTTTACTTTCTCCTAGCTCTGCTTCATAGTGCAGCGAATAAAGCGCATCAGTCTGCTCTCAAGTCCCGTTTTCCAATTTCATCCCCTCGTTTGAGTCAATACACACTGTCAACCATTAGCTAAAAAGAATTGCATCATTAATTAACAATAATGTGATTAACCAACGAGGTTGGGACATCGAGATCTATGGCGGGATTTATTGTTTTCATAAAGCATAACTCGCATTTGTAAAACTTAATGATATAACACTGTAAGCATTTTTTGTTCTCCTAATGGAAAAAGCGTTATGAAGCTTGATGACTTCTACAAAGGGAAAGACATTATGTGTGATGTATTTGCGAGGCGGGCTGCATTTCTTTTTCATGAAGTCTGGCGGCTACCACTGAAAAAGCTCTTCTTGTTTCACTAATGCATATCTGATGTTGGCCCAGTCACAGAGTAATCTTCGATTCCGTGTATCTCGCGCTGGACTGTTGTCACCGTCTCCGTTTCCCCCAAGCCACCTAACACTCGCTGAACGTTCCAGCTTATTATAATTAAGTGCTTTTAAACCATGTCAGTGCTGGAACTCATCGGGCCCTTAAGCATCTAATTCCCCCTCAGTCTATTCATATGATCTGACACCCACTTTCTTCCACTAAGAGCTTATTTACCGGTACTGTTAAAAAAAAAAGAGGGGGGAAAAGAAGTGCTTTTAAGCTAGCAAACACTCAAATCATGGTACCAAAGGTCGACAAAACTAACAGCTGAGTGGTTCCGAAACCAACATGCAGATAATAAGGTTGCCAATATGTGGTGAAGCAGTGTTAAATCCTTACAAGCATGTAAAACTACTGGGAAGTCCTTGGGGGACTGTTGAGGATTAAGATACACGAAGAAACATGGCTAATGCACACCTACACAGTTGTGCAATGGCATGAAATCAGCAGACACATGCCTCTGTAACTCCAGTGCTGGGGAGTAATTATGCACTGGCTCCATATTTGTTATTTGTGTTCTCTCCTGGGACACCGGAGCTGATATGGATCTGTTGTAGTCATTAGATACAGTGGTGTCCTGGATATTCTTCCCGTTTGTTGTCTCTTTAATTTGACAAGAGTTTCAGTTTATTCCCTATTCACCCACTGTTTAATGAAAAACTAAATAAATAAAAAATGAAAGTACAAGGTACAGGTGCAACGGAGGTGAAGCTATGCACAATACAAGATCTGTGAAACTGAATGTAATCAAGATTTTCTTGTTTTACCTATCCCCAGAAGCATTAATGCATGCTTTCTGACATTTGTAGTCCTTTCCCCAGAGGGGTCACGCTGCAGAAACGCAGAGACGGTGTTTCTGGAGGTCTTACTCAAGGCTGCTACGGATCCTCGACCAGACCTCCAGGATGAACTCCTCAACCGCAATCTTCCACTGTTAAAGGATAATGAATTAATCTGTCCTCGTGTTGGACTACATTGAGAGCTGGCTGCTCTCTACTGTGTCAGTTAACATCAAAGAAGATAAACATTGGCAGATCAAACACTCTGCTTTCATTAAAAATGTAGCACCATCCCAGGAGTTCTCCTGCATTTGGCCTAAGAGGTGTGTGGGATAGTAGACTGTAGAATAGCAAACATGGCCTGTGTGTGTGTGTGTGTGTGTGTGTGTGTGTGTGTGTGTGTGTGTGTGTGTTAAGGCCCTCTTGGCTGCGGCTTCGCAATGTCTTCATCTATTTACACTGTAAAGAGCATATAGCAAACTGTCCTATAGGCTCTGTATGTTCAGAAAGTGATGCAGTGTCATAAGAAGAGACAGGTGTGAGCAAACCAAAGCATCCTGGCTGTGTGCCTTAGTGTAGCAGATGTGGGAGGAGTGGATACGCAAAGCAGGCAGTGTGTTTGACTACACTGTTAGGCTAAGGTCAGGCCAGCAGACTGTCTTTCCTCTAACCTCCAACACTGCCATCACAAGGCGCCTCATATTACCGCCTCTGCCGAGAAACGAGGGAGGAATCCAATCATAATTACATAGTTGTGATGGAAATACGAAAAAGGAGAGATGACATTATAAATCTGCTTTCTGTCAGGACCAAACACTAGCGTTTCTCTCTGTTTGCTGCGATGGATTCCCGTAATGACTGGCGTGCAAAAATAGATTACCTCAGATTTGGAATATAGTGTAGCTGTTTGAAATTCTGATTTTTGATATTTTTTTGTGCATCCCTTGCATGGAATCCCAAAGGAAGAAAGTTTTTTTTTGTTTTGTTTTTGTTTAACATCTGTTCCATCATTTATTCATAAAAATAGATATCTATTTTTTGGGTGTGCTCATCCTCCTGGGAGGAGTGCTATTAAAAGAAGCTTAATGATGTGTATTGGTTTACCATTTCAGTTTTCACAGAAATCACTACCACGATTTATAAGGACACTTTTAGCCAATCAGACACTATCGGGATCTGGTAAAGGCCCTATCTCTGATCAATGCTCCTGAAGATTTAGTGCCGTGCAGGAAAACTGTGAGACAACAAGCCCCCTTCTGATCTCCTTTTCTCTCACTCTATTTTACCTTTTAGGACAATTAAATGGTCTAGTAGTTGAGGAGATGAAGTGGTAAATAGACTGTGAGGTTATGAACAGAACCTTTCAAAAGCATAGCTAATTAAATATCTTTTCAGCTGCATGTTCTAACTTGGCAGCAATTACAAAGCTGCGAATTGCAAAGACAGTCGAGTAGGGGCACCATTCACACGGACTCAGTGTATAATTAAATGGCACATCACACTCCATGATCCAAAATAATGATGCCAATACCTCGTATCTATCAGTCAATCGATTCTTGTTTTATCCACGGTATTATTTTATTTATAGCAGCAGACAAAATGTATCAAATATTATTAAAGAGCTCTTGTGATGTGAACAGAAGAAGTGATTTAAATGTCAACGGATTATGTGTCTGAACTACAATTATATTTTTTTTCCTATTTGCCCGACTTGTTTACTTCAGCTGGACAAAGATATACTGGTCACAGCATTAGTATTAAGGACCTTTAACATTTATTCTTTGGCTTCATGTGGGTGCTATTATGAAGGCTCTGTAAGGCAATCTTTTCATTTCTACAGTCACTTCCTGTTATTTAAGTGAATGTGGATCAGCTTTTGTGTAATGAAAGAAGAGTACCATTCTTTTGGAACGTTTTACAGTAACAAAATTCTGTTACAAGTGTATTTATTGATGGAACTGTTGCTTTACACTTATTATTTTTATATATATTATTTATTATTACTGTTAGTAATCTGTAACATTTTTTATTTGTCTGATTTTGGTGACAGCAACAGTGTTTTCTTATGTATATAAATATATATCCTGCTGACATTTTAATTTAATGACATGTAAATTTTCCATGTAATTTTGTTACATAAGTACAAAGCAAAATGTGAAATTTAATGGAATCTGGTTAAATGAAAATTACTTGAGTTTATATCAAGCATCAATTCTTTAATCATGTATTATTTGAATAAATAAACATTTGTTTTTTCATATTTCAGTTACATTTGAATCCAAAATCTTGCTTCATGTTTATGTAATCTTTTTTTTACACCACTGTAAAGGCTTTATGTTATTCTTTTGTCGATTTTAAATTACTGTATCGATCTTTTCTTTGTCTGTTGAGCTCCAGCAGTGACTGCTCCTATTATACCACTATCAGTGTGTATATTTATGTATTTTTGCACCTATTTCCTTCCTACTATTTATTATTTGTTGCATCTGGTGTAAATGCAAAACCTAGCTTATGTATACC